CCAACTATGAGTTTTAGGACATAAAACCCAACACCTATAGTACATTCTTTGGCATTTCATGTCTGACATGCCTAGACATGATATTTCTGAAACGTCATACTTCCTAGAAATACAAATGTAAAACACTAGAATATTAAAAGACATAAAGGGTTGGGCTTGTCATGGGCATGCGGCCATGGGCAACATGCCTTGGACGAGCATGACCATGACATCCTCCCCCACGTAATTGGTTGACGTCTCTGTCAACCGACTACTTTCAAACCTGGCGATGTGGGTGGCAGCGGAGTCCAGATCTTCAGCGCGTTCCCAACTTGTTTCCTCTGTAGGAAGATTCTTCCATTTGACAAGGAATTCACGAATCGTCCGTACAGGTCTTCCTATCTTTCTAACCCTGTCGGCTAGGATCTCCTCTATTTCTTTGTTGTCTCTTTGTTTCAGATCGATGCTCGGTCTCGTGATACATTTTGTTGATCGTCGTCTGGGTCAGGGTGATAGGGCTTCAAGTTGCTCATATGAATTAGTGGGTAGATTTTCATCCTTGTGGGTAGCGCAACTCTGTAGAAGGTAGCCCCAATCTTTTTAAGGACTTCAACCGGCCATTCATATTTTCAAACTAGTCTCTGGTCCTTTCGGCTGCGAAATCTGATCTGTTCTGGTCTCAACTTGATGAGGACTTGATCTCCTACTTAGAATTGGAGGGGGCGACGCTTCTTGTCCTCCCACTTCTTCATATGCTTGGAAGCTTTCTCTAAATATGCTCGGGCTATATCTGTTGTCTACTTCCATTCTCTTGTGAAGTTTTGAGCTTGAGGGTTTTTCCCTGCATAAGGATGATCAATAATAAGGGGCAAGGCTGGTTGTCGTCCACTTACAATTTCGAAGGGGCTCTTCCTCGTACACGAGCTCGTTTGACAATTGAAACAGAATTGGACGGCATCTAGCAGTTGTATCCCATTTTTCTGGCGAGCGTCAACGAAGTGACGTAAGCATTCTTTGAGTAAGCAGTTGAACAGTTCTGTCTGTCCATCGGTTTGAGGATGATAGCTCGAGGAGATGTTTAAAGTCGTTCCCAAGAAGGCAAATAATTCGGTCCACAATGTGCCAATGAATCTACCATCCCTATCACTGATGATGCTCGACAGAATGCCCCATAACTTTACAACGTGTTTGAAAAATAGTTGGGTTGTTAGTTCAGCCGAGCATAATTTGGGAGTGGGGACGAACGTCGCATATTTTGAGAACCGGTCTATGATAACCAAGATGGTGTCATATTCTCCGACTTTTGGGAGGTGTGTTATGAAATCCAGAGACACACTTTCCTAAGGCCTTGTTGGCACAGGTAGAGATTCTAAGAGTCTCGAGACTTTGGCTTTCTCGACTTTGTTCTGTTGGCAGATGAGGCACGTGTTGGTGTACTGCATGATGTCGTCTCACATATTCGGCCAAAAGTACCCCTTTTTTGTTAGGGCATATGTTCTTTGTCACCCAGGGTGTCCGGCTCATAAGGTATCATGGCATTCCTGAATAAGCTTCTTCCTCTATTCTCCCATTCTTGGGACGTATAATTTGTTTCCTTTAGTCATTAGAAGGTCTCCCTCGACCCAAAACTATCGTGTCTTCTTAGCTTTAGCTAGTTCGACGACGGCTTTGGCCGATGGGTCTTTGTGTAAATGTTCTTTGATGATGTCGTGCATCGATCCATCGATCTTACTTGAATGAATATGGACTAACATGCACAGGGCCGCATGTTCACCCTTCCGACTCAGTGCATCGGTTGCTTGATTACTCTTTCCTGCATTGTGTTCAAATTTGAAGTCGAACAGCCAACGACTTCTGCCACCGAGCTTGTTTTGTCGTCAATATTGGTTGATCGAAGAAGTGGCAAATGACACTGTTATCCGTCTTCACTATGAACTGTGATCCCAAGAGATATTATCTCCAGACTCGTAGGCAATGGACCACAGCCAGCATTTCTTTTTCAGAGACAGTGTATCTCCGTTCAGCATCATTGAGCTTTCGATTTTCATAAGTGATGGGGTGACCTTCTTGAATAAGGACACCTCCTAGGTGATACGTACTTGGTAGTACCCTGATTGTAAGTCCAACTTCGTGAAGTATTTGGCCCCGTGAAGTTGGTCAAACAAGTCGACTATTATCGGCAGTGGGTATTTGTTGCGTACCGTCACCTTGTTTAAGGCTCTATAATCTATGCACAAACGCAACGTCTCATCCTTCTTTTTCTGCAATAGTACGGGGGCTCCGTAAGGCGCCTTTGCCAAGCGGATGAATCCTACCGTCAACAACTCATCTAGTTGTTTCCTCAATTCGGCTAGCTTAGGGGGAGCCATCCAGTATGCGTTCTTCGTTGGGGGTTTAACCCCAGGGAGGAGTTCAATTTCATGATCAATGCCTCGATGGGGTGGTAATGTTTGTGGTAAGCTCTCTAGCATTATGTCAGCATAACTGTCTAGTACCTCCTTGATTTCGCTTGGAATAGTTTCCTCAATGGTCACTTCTTCCATCAGTGGTATAGCCATAAATGTAGGTTCCTCTCGTGCGAGTCCTCTTTTCAATTGTATGGCCGAGATCATTCTAAGATTACCTAGTTGCTTGATGCTTGCAGGTATTACTGTGGGGTTGTGGTTGGTGATCACCAAGCATTTCGCCAGTGGCATTGGGATAACTTTGTGCTCTAGGAGGAACTCCATCCCAAGTACGACGTCAAAGTCGTCCATGCAAACCATGACAAGGTCCAACTCTTCTGTCCAAGTCCCTAATTTGAAGGGGACTCTTTTGGAAACTTCCACAATAGGCAAGGCCTCAGAGTTGACAGCTTTCATTTTTTCGGGGTCCTTTTCTATGGTGAGTCCCAATCTTCGTGCTTCTTGATCGGCGATGAAGTTGTGGGCCGCTCCTGAGTCTATCAAGGTGCTCTTGCTTGGTCGAGAGTTTATTATCGCATCCACGAACATGAGCCCTTTCTCTATTATCTCCTTTGGTTTGACCTTCCGTTGGAGGGCTGACAAGAATTTAAGTGCGCCCATTCGAGGGTTGTCTTGATCTTCCTTCTTGTCTTGCATTGTCCCTACTCCTGTGTCGTAGCTATCTTGAATGGACACTTGGAGTGCACTGAGAGAGTCCCGATGAGGATAGTAGGACAGTTTGTGGGGGGCCTTTACACAACAGGCATTGTAAAGATGTTGTCGGGTGGTTCTTTTGAGGGTAAGGTCCTCGAGATGTTCCCGCTTGGTTGTTCTGAGGAGGTCTATCTGTCCACCCGCTTGATCTGTCGTTACTTCCGTTTGGCCTATTGGGACTTCCATTTCGATGACCTGACGGTTTATATGTTTTTCCCCCAGTGTTTGGGCCTGTGTTGTTCTTCTTTGGTAACCCACTTCGTTCTCATAGTCTAGAAGTCTCTCAGCGCTGGCAATTGCGGTAGCTAGGTCTTTGACCTTTTTCTCGTGTATTTTCGTATAAAGAAGAATACCTTGTCCTTCTTTAATGTGCCCTTGATATCTAGCATCAAGGTTGAGAACTGTCTGACATAGTCCCTTATGCTTCCAGTTTGCTTTAGGGCTATTAGTTTTTCCATTGCCAGATGTTCTACGTTTTCGGGGAAGAATTGGTCCCTCAACTCTCTCTTGAGGTCTTCCCACGAGTTTATGGTGCACAATCCATTCTCGATGTCTTGCACCTTCGTACGCCACCAAAGTTTAGCATTGTCTATGAGATACATCAAGGCTATTGTCACCTTTATGTCGTCAGTACAAGCCGTTGTGGCTTTGAAGTACTGTTCGACATCAAAGATGAAGTTCTCCAACTCTTTGGCGTCCCGGTTCCATTTGAAAGGTCTAGGGTCTGGGAACTTCAGTTTGTTGGATTCTGTATTGGTTTGCCCAGCCGTGACGTTCTCCACGGCTTTCATGGTCACCTTAATTCGGGTGCTCATGATGGACATCTTTTCTTGGATGTCATCGATCGTTGTTCTGAACTCGTTAGCTAATCCGTTGAACAAACTCATCATTGTATTTTGTAGCACGTCAAACTCTTCGCCACGTCCCTCCTTGTACGCGACAGAGCTATCGGGGCTACTAAATAGTCTTGGGCTGCTCGTAAGAACAACTCTTTCTTAGAGCGAGGTCACTCGAAACATCAGTTCTGCGATTGGCAACCCATCCAGGCGGTTGCCCATTGCATCGATTTCTACGACTTTTCCATTCAATTCTGTCACCCGTGCTTTTAGGAAGCGAATGGTGTCAGGGACTTCTTTGGAACAGCATTTCCTCATTTATTAGAGTAAGCCGGTCAGCTTGTGATTTGGGTGTCGACTTTGTCGTCAACATGTTTTCGATCTTTGCTATGTCACGAAGCTATGTTTTTGGTCTTTGCTTTGTCGTCGACTTTGTCCCCGACCACTCTGATACCATTTGTCACAATCGCACTTTTGATGGCAACGGACTTGCAATTGTGCGACACTCACTTCCCAACGACAAAAGTGTCTTGCGTCGCCTACGGCCAAGCAACTTATGCTCAAGCCTCTGGCCTCAGTTTTAAGAGAATGTTTTAGAAAACGAGGGCAGAGAGATTTTCGAAATAGAGATATTTGGTATCCCCACTATAGCTTATAGTACATTCTGTGTCATTTCATGTCTGACAAGACTTAGATATGATATTTCTGAAACGTCATACTTCCTAGAAATACAAAAGTAAAAACACTAGAATATGATTAGACATAAAGAGTTGAGCTTGTCATGGGCAACATACCTTGGACGTGTATGACCTTGCACTAAGCACGTGCATTTTCTTGCACACATTAATTATACCTTCGAGGTTTACGAGTAATAATAGTTGGATACAAACTCAAAAGAAATCAAATCAAAGTTAACAAACAATTAGCCGAGAAAGAGGATCATAGCAATAATTGGTGAATAAGGAACTTAGAGGTAATATTGATGACACAATTGTGTGATTTTACAAATATTATTAAAATAAACAAATGATTAAAGACAGAAGTTGATTACGAGGACACAGTATTTTGAATTGAATTTGATGAAAAGTCATGAAACAAATGACTCCAAATAAAATTGGTGATTATTGGAGATGAGACTCCTTAGTAGCCAGGAAACTGTGGTGGAGGCGGCGATGAATACTGGAAGCCGATATTTGGTGGGAGAATTAAGTCCTCGAATGCTGGCGGTGGAGAAGAATCGGGAGCAGGAGGAGGAGTTTCGATCGCAGGAGGTGGAGATTGTTCTGGTGGAGGCGGAGATTGTTCTGGTGGAGGCGGAGATTGTTCTGGTGGAGGCGGAGATTGCTCTGGTGGAGGCGGAGATTGCTCTGGTGGCGGCGGAGATTGCTCTGGTGGCGGCGGAGATTGCTCTGGTGGCGGCGGAGATTGCTCTGGTGGAGGCGGAGATTGTTCTGGTGGCGGCGGAGAGTGAACGGGTGGGGGCGGAGATTGTTCTGGTGGGGGAGGAGAGTAAACGGGTGGGGGTGGAGATTGTTCTGGTGGCGGTGGAGAGTAAACGGGTGGGGGTGGAGATTGTTCTGGTGGCGGTGGAGAGTAAACGGGTGGGGGTGGAGATTGTTCTGGTGGCGGTGGAGAGTAAATGGGTGGGGGTGGAGATTGTTCTGGTGGGGGTGGAGAGTAAACAGGTGGGGGTGGAGATTGTTCTGGTGGGGGTGGAGAGTAAACAGGTGGGGGTGGAGATTGTTCTGGTGGCGGCGGAGAGTAGACGGGGGGTGGCGGAGAGTAGACGGGAGGTGGTGGGGAGTGGACCGGTGGTGGAGGAGAGTGGTCGGGTGGTGGTGGAGAGTGGTCGGGGGGTGGTGGAGAGTGGACTGGTGGCGGTGAGGATGGAACAGAGGGCGTTGGTTTGTGAGATGTTGGTGGTGGAAACACAATCGGAGATGGTGGAGACCCAACTTCTATGTAAGGGATTTCACCCACAGATGGTGGCGGCGGCGGCCTAAATCTGGGCGATGGTGACTGAACAAATGGATCATCAGCACAACCACCACACTCCATGGGTTTATCCAAAACAGAGCTACACTTGGCCGCATCTCTCTGCTCCGGTCGATTCCCCAAACAATTCCCAACATCATCAAAAGAATTCTTAGATTCTTTAGACCCAACACACACCGCATCTTCCTCACTAAAATAATTGTTCGAACAATTAAAGTAAGTCAATTTAGGCAACTCGCAAACACCCCCTAAAACAGAGCCCCTCAATTCATTATTACTAACATCCAAAACCTCCAAACTCTGCAGCCCCGGCAATGATTTAGGCAGCTCGCCGACAAAGAAATTGTAACTAACATCAATAAGTGTCATATTCACAAGCTGTCCCATCTCGTAAGGGAAACAGCCGCTGAGGTTGTTGCCGAGGAACAGGGCCTGGTTGAGGTTGGGCATATGGCCGATGGTGTTAGGAATGCAGCCCTGGAACTCGTTGTAGGCGAAGGACACGACAGAGACGGTGGAGTTTCCGATGGTATGTGGGATGAAGGAAGTGAATCTGTTATTGTTTAGGAAAATGGCATCGAATTCCTTGGTGAACAGAGCAGGTGGGATTGCTCCTTCGAAGTTATTGAACCTGAGATCGAGGTACTTAGCGACGGACCATTCAAGAACAACCTCAGGGAAATGGCCGACGAAGCGGTTAGTGCTGATATCAAATTCAAACATGAGGGTGAGCTGGGAGAAGCTATAAGGAACGATCCCACAGAATCTATTGGAGTTAATATGGAACAGAGCTAAATCGGTGATGAGGCCTAATTCCGGCACCAAATGGCCGGCAATATCGCCATGGTTCAAATCAATGCCGGCGACAACTTCAATGGTTGAGTCATCAAGCGCCGTGGTACAAAAGACGCCGACGTAAGAGCAGACATCGGCACCAACCCAATTGGCGGTCATGTTTAGAGGGTCGGAGTAAATGGCTAATTTCCAAGCTTGAAGGGCGATGTAGGCCTTTTTCAACCTCTCATTAGGGAAAGTGTCGGGAATGTCGAGTTCGTATTTGTAGTCATCTGGGAGGTTTTCGTATTCTTTTAAAGCTTTAAGTTGGCGGCGAACGATGAATGAAGCTTCGGCGTCGGAGAGGGCAACGGAGAGAAGTGGCAGAGAGAGGAGGAGGAGGAGGAGGAGAATGCAGCCATGGTTAACTTGGTTTCTAAGAAGACAAGTCATTGAGAGCTTTGTTGATGTGTGAATGAGGAGGGGATTGTGGCATTTTAAAGTTTTTTTTTTTTTTTCTCTATTTTTGGTGAAATGGGTTAATGTGGATTCATGGGTTGAGATTGATTTTAGGGTTTGTAATTTTTTTTTTTTTTTTTTTTTTTTTTTTTGTGGTGATTAGGTTTTTTCTTTATTTAGGGTTTTTTCTATGTCGTGGTAAAAAGATTGGTAATAATTTTAGGGTTTAGGGTTTAGAATTTCTAATTTAGATGGGTTTCAATAATATAAATTAATTAATTTTCATTTATTAACCATAGTCATTCAATTATAGACATAAAATTTCACTCTTTTGCATTATAAGATAAGTGGTGTCTAAAATTTAATCATTATAATCTAGTCGATCATTTACAACTAACTTATAATTATAAATAGGTCAAAAGTTTACTGAACATAACATTGAAAAAAATAGTTAAGAGAACGAAAAATTGAAACCGTACCATCTTCTTAAAAAAAATACTTAATTTTAGTTTCTCAGAAATTAAATATATATTTATAATGTATTAAATTAAAATCATTTTAGACGTGAAGTCACACATAATTGTATATTTATTACACGTCAAAGTTAAAATTAATAAAGAAAAAAGTTTAATAAAACAATATAACTAAAAATTAACTAAAAAAAATGTTACTTGGACAAACAAAAAAAAAAAAAAAAAAAAAAAATTGGATCGAATACAATTTACAACCATGTTTAAATTGGGTTGGATAGTCTTTCTTTAAATTTTTTTAAAAAAAATGTATATTCATTTACAATACATATTTTATTAACCATTAAAATTAATAATTAAAATTTTACAAAAACTTAAATATTAACTATTCATAAGTCACAATATATTAATTTTAATTTTTATGGTTCGAATTACAGATCATCTAGGATGGAATTGAATCAAATTTTTTATTTTAAAAAAAACTTTGACAAAAAAAAATCCAAATTATTTAGTAATATGAACACTATGTTTTGTGGGGGAGAAGAGAAAGGATGTTCTTCAAAAGGGAATATTCACAAAAAAAAGTAAACAAAACTTATTTCAATTTCTTCTTAGACACCAAAGAAATTTTTGGCTAGACAGATAATCTTTTATGGATTAGATGGTTAGAAATCTATTTGAGTATAAGCTTTCATGTTTTGTGCTCCCTCAATCTTTCCCTCGAACACTCCTGAGGTTTATAGAGTCATCGAACAGTCTTTCCTTAATCGAGGTTTAACTCCTTCTCAGACGTTTTTGGACATTTAAGTCACTTTTGATTTTATCTTTGAGAATTACAACTTCTTTATTAGATATTTAATGATTTTATTGATATAGACAGACTAAATTAAAGGTAGAGTTCTTATACTATATTCAGAATTACAAATCTATATACTAATAAGATATTATCATTTTGAACCTAAGATTCAGAAGCTCATAGAAGAGGTAGATGAGAAAGAGAATAACTAAAACTTCTCGATCCATTCACAAAATAAAAGATCAAATCGACTCAAAAATACAAAATCAGATCAGCGAAGACGAACCTGATAGCGATTTTCGCAGCAATCAGCAGCAGAGGATGCAGAAACAGTAAAAAGGCCCAAGCAGAATCAAATTCGAAGAATAATCGGTAAGTAAATCTTCCTTCTCAACTCGAAATCACAGGCGCGATTTCTTCGCTTCCTCCGATCATAAACAGAACTAGATCGAATCAACTTAGGACTAATCGGAAATCCAAAATTGTACTCTGAAAACACAACACCTAACATTACGAATCCGCGCCTAGAATAGCTTTCCGGTAGACTCCGACGGAGAAAGACGGCGGCCGGGCGGAAAAGGAAAGTGATTAAATATAAAGATATATATGGCTAAAACGGCGCAACAGAAAACGAGAGAGAGAGGGAGAAAGAGATAGGTTTTGTAAGAGAGTATTGGAATTTGAGCCATAAATGACGTGTCCGATTTGCAGGCGTTGCCTTCTTTTTAATCAACCTAATTAGGTATGAATATTATTTTATTTTTCTTTATAAATAAAACTAACTCATTTTTTCTTTTCTTTTTTTAGAGGAGAATGAAACATTCTGATAAGAATATGAAAACTATCTCTAGTAGACACATTTCAAAATTGTGAGTTGACAACAATACGTACATAGTCAAAGTGGACAATATTTGCTAACAGTAGACTTGTGTTATTACAAATTGTATCAGATAAACATTGGACGGTGTGCCAGCAAGAACATTGGTCCCTAACGAGGTTGGATTGTAAGATTACACGTCAGTTGGAGAAGGGAACAAAACATTCCTTATAAGGATAGACATGTTTTAAAACTATTAAGCTAACGATGATACGTATTGGGTCAAAATGGAGAGCGGTAGGTTTGGGCGGTTACATTTTATTAGCCATTCCTACTGACGGCAGGAAATTAATATTTTACAATTTATAAACGATTTAAAAATTTTATTTTATCATATTTTAACCATTTAACAAATTAAATTTGAGTTGATAGTTTTAATAATAAAAGCCACAGAAAATCATAATAAAAATATACATAATTAATTAGAAGTTTAAAAAATATAAAATAATTAAGCACAATTATCGAGACTAAGAACTAAATTTAATAATTAAGAACTAAAATTGGAATCTTAAAAAGTGTAATTCTTGAAAACGTGTCTATCATAGGTAACTCTAGTGCCCCTATAAAACCCCTAATGATCCTAACTTTTTTGAGTTTACATTCCCACAAATATATTAATTTTATTTTTATAAAACAATAAATGTTAAATTAATAAATAATTCTTAAAATTTAAATTTTCAAAATATAACTTTTAAAAAATATCACATGAATTTTAAAGGTAATTAATTATAAAAATTAATTAATATTTTTATTTTTATTAATTTGGCCATGAATTATATCTAAATTTTAGAATTTTTCAATCAAACCTTTTGGATTTTGCCACGTCACCCTCTCCCCTTCTTACACAATGAATGAAATTTTATGACGTGGCCTCCACCCTTAACCTATCACAACCGTTCATTTTTGTTCGCTACCTCGTGGGACCTACTCATCCTCCCTTTTTTATTTTTATAAAAATTAGTGATTTTTTTTTAAAAATATATTTTGATGAGAGGTATTTAAATTATTTGAATGATGAATTTATTTGGAGTTCAGTTGAATTAATATTTGATAAATGGAATTAATTATATATATGTATATTTATTTTATTTTATAAATATTTTTTATTATTTATCCTCCATCACTCTTTAAAATAATTTTTTTATATATAATTTTTGTTTGAAATAAATGACTTCAATCCAAACCAATTTAATCCAACAAATTTATTGTCGTACATTGACTATTGATGGAAAGTTGTTTGGGTTAAAAATTTTTACCATTAAACAACTGGGTTGAGTTTAAAAAATATCTAAACTCGACCCAACTCAACCCACAAACATCCTTAATTTTGGCTGAATATATATATACAGTGTAAAATAACATTAAGATCCACGTGTAATTAACATTTTTATATTTTTCTAAATATAAAATTAAAATTTGGAGAGATTTACTACACGATAAACTTAGAGCGCATTTGGTAATATTTTTGTTTCTTCTTTCGTCCTTTTAACACAGAAAACCGCTTTTCATCGGTTTTTTGTTTCTTTTTCAAAAAAACATAACCATGTTTGGTATGATTGAAATTTTAAAAGGTAAGATGTAAATTTTTTATATGAAAATTCTTTCTAAAATTTTAAAGTAATATATATTTTTATAAATATAAATAATTCATTTATTTATTTATTGAAATAAAATTATAAATAAATAAATAAATAAATAAAATTTATTTTGTTGGATTAAATTTTAAAGTATATAAAAAATAACAAATTAGAAAAAAAAAACAGTAATATTACTAAAGTGCCCTGAGACGCTTTTAATAAACTTATTAAACATGGTAATATTTTTATTCATTCGGAAATTTTTTTATTGTGGACCACACTCGTATAGGACGCGCGTTACGGAAGCGGTGTATTACACGCTTCCTTCATTTTATACCGTCATCTACGTGCAATGATCCACTGCAACCATTCCTACCATTACCAGTAAGATGAAGCTTTTAACGGACAAGTCAGGCCGTTGGATGATTTGAATAGAAAGCTCCAGTGGGATCGATCACAGAGGATTCTGATCTTTCTATTACGAAAGTTTTTATTTTTTTTTTAATAATAAGTTTTGTTTGGACAAATATGGTGACGTGTAGTAGCGGCAGCTTTCTTCCTCTGTCCTCCAAGAAAACCAAATTACCCTGTAAATAAAAGGAAAATGTAGGGGTAAAAGCGTCCAATTGAAATTAACAGATCAATATATGTATATGAAGGGCTGAGAAAGCAACTGAAAGTTAAACCCTGACTATCGAGTTCTGTGTGAGATCTGCGAAAGAGAAAGAAGGAGAGATTTTCGTCTCCGAGGGAGAAAAATTTTCAGGCGGGAAGAGGCGGAAAGCTGGAGTCGTATCCTCTGTTGTGGATTGTGTATTGAGATAATCTTGTGGCGGGTTTGGTTTTGTTGATTTTTGGAGGCGTTTTTTTCGAATCTGCTTTTTGTTTTTCCTCCGCCATGAGGATCCGGAAGAACGCGAAGTTATCGCCACTGTTGTTTTCGGCTGTGGAGTGCGTTCCGCAGATTCTTCAGACACACGTTTGTCAGTTGAACCAGTCGCCATGGGATGTGATTCCTCTCGAGCAACACGCCGCGCACCAGGTTTTAATTAGTTGAGTTGAAGAAATGGAGAAATTTCTTTTATCTCTAATCTTTTGAATCTGTAATCTGTTTCTTTTGTGTAGATCTGTTTTTCTCTTCCTTCTCCTTTCACTTCCCTCTCTCTTTAGGGTTCTTTGTTTCCCCTTCCATTTTAGGGTTCATCCGAAACCCTAAAAATTATCCTCGTTCTTCTCGTGATTAGGTTAATGATTCTTACTCACCTTCTGCTCTATTTCTCGATGTTTCGTGTTCTCACAGCTCGAGGAGGTCGAAGATAGCTTCTACGAAAATGCTAGTTTAGGCGGTTCTATCGGAGCCGTCGAGAGGTGAGTTTATTTGTTTCTGTGACCTCTGCTGTTTGTTGTTATTGATTTGCGTTATTTATGATTCTTTCCGTTGCGTAAATAGACGCGGTTGAGTGAACAAGTAAATGCTCATACGATAATCCGAAATAATTTCCTCGAAGCGAAAAGGTCTGGTAGTGTGATTGTTATCGTCTGTCTGTGCGTGCCTTTTTG